CACGGGTTGCACGCAGGTATTTATCTGCCCCAAGCACCAGCACAGACAGTGAGAGACTCTTCAGTGCGGCATCTCATGTGCTTAATGAGAAGAGGAACCGTCTCTCCAGCCAAAAAGCGGAGCAACTTTTGTTCCTAAAGAAAAACCTGCCACATTTGTTGAACTAAACAGCAGTCCAATTTTGCATAGTGCATAGTTGCATTAAAATTTTTGTAGCACTGCTAGCTACCTAGGCTATGTTGTTTACAGTTTGTTTGGAAGTTCTATTGCTGTTTTTGCCCCGTTTTGCATAGCAATTTAAAATGTTTGAGTGTTACATAAAACTGTTATTGAATGTTACATAAAACTTGAATAATATTATTTAGTATTGTTTATTGTTAAAAATATTTTAGATTTTAGTTTTTCATTTCAGATTCATCAAATTCAAGTAATTTTATTATCTATCGGACTCCCCCCTCTGACTTCTCAGTTTTGGATTCCTTGGCTGTGTGAGGTTGCTGGTACTGACCCTGGATTGTTAATATAGACTTGGATTATGTTTTTGGACTACTGCACTGTATGCTCTTACCTGTGCTCAGTAAAGCTAAAGCTAGCTACTCACTCTCGTCTGGCACTATAATTGAGTTGACCCCATGACATCATCAGCAGCGTTACGCGCCGATCCTGACAGGACATCAGTCAATCTGGACACAGAACCCTGAATCTAACTCATGATCAAATTTTACTGGGCCTGCAGATGTAACAGTGTGTGTATGTGTGTCTGTGATCTCCTCACCGTTTCTTCATCAGTAGAATGACTCCGAGGAAGATGATGATGAAGACCAAGATACCAGCGATGGCTCCAGTGATTGTTACCGTGTGGTCCGATGGTTTTTCCTGTTCTGGTTCTGGTTTTCTGGTTGCAGCTCCTGAAACCATTAGCATGTCAACATTAACTACCATTAACCATGGCAACGTACCTGCTAGCTACTGTAAACAGGCAAATACCTTAACGTACTAAAAACTTTAATCATCAACTCAAATTCTGCATTTCCTGCCCCAGACTTATTTATTTGTTATTATTTATTTATTACTTATGTATATTTTCTTCTTTCTGTCTGGCCTCCTTGCTATGCTGCAGCAGTACATCTGGCTGTGACCGTTTTCTGTTTTTCATGCCAAGTAGCTTCTGTTCTTGCATTTAGAGGTCCCTGTTCATACAACCCAAATAAAAAAAGTTGGGACGGTGTGTAAAATCAAAATTAAAACTGAAGACAGTGATGTGTAAATCATCAACTTGACACCACATCAACTTTAACCTCTGTTCAAAATAAACACTTCAATCCTGCTGTGCTGCAACTCATTCCAACAAAAGTTGGTCTGGCTGCATTTCAGGGCTAGTAATGAGGTAAAACAGTGAAATGATGACTCCATTTGAACCAGGTGATGTCAGCAGGTGACTGCATCATGATTTGGTACAACAGTGGCATCCAGGAAAGTCCGAGCCCTATGGGAGCAAAGATAGGCCGAGGACTGCCAGTTGGCCAACATACAGTGGTGTGAAAAAGTGTTTGCCCCCTTACTGATTTCTTATCTTTTTGCATGTTTGTCACACTGTAATGTTTCAGATCGTCAAACAAATTTATATATTAGTCAAAGATAACACAAGTAAACACATCATGCAGTTTTTAAATGAAGGTTTTTATTATTAAGGGAAAACAAAATCCAAAACTATAGAGCCCTGTGTGAACAAGTGTTTGCCCCCCTGTCAAAACACTGGTTTATCGCACCTGAGTTCAATTTCTCTTGCCACACCTGTTCGCAATCAAGAAATCACTTAAATAGGACCTGCCTGACAAAGTGAAGTAGACCAAAAGATCCTCAAAAGCTAGACATCATGCCGAGATCCAAAGAAATTCAAAAACAAATGAGAAAGAGAATAATGGAGCTCTATCAGTCCGGAAAAGGTTATAAAGCCATTTCTAAAGCTTGGGGACTGCAGCGAACCACAGTGAGAGCCATTATCCACAAATGGCGAAAACATGGAACAGTGGAGAACCTTCCCAGGAGTGGCCAGCCGACCAAAATTACCCCAAGAGCGCAGCGACAACTCATCCAAGAGGTCACAAAAGACCCCACAACAACATCCAAAGAACTGCAGGCCTCACTTGCCTCAGTTAAGCTGAGTGTTCATGACTCCACCATAAGAAAGAGACTGGGCAAAAATGGTTTGCATGGCAGAGTTCCAAGACGAAAACCACTGCTGAGCAAAAAGAACATAAAGGCTCGTCTCAGTTTTGCCAGAAAACATCTTGATGATCCCCAAGACTTTTGGGATAATACTCTGTGGACAGACGAGACAAAAGTTGAACTTTTTGGAAGGTGTGTGTCCCATTATGTGTGGCGTAAAAGTAACACCGCATTTCAGAAAAAGAACATCATACCAACAGTAAAATATGGTGGTGGTAGTGGGATGGTCTGGGGCTGTTTTGCTGCTTCAGGCCCTGGAAGACATGCTGTGATAAGTGGAACCATGAATTCTGCTGTGTACCAAAATATCCTGAAGGAGAATGTCCGGCCATCCGTTTGTGACCTCAAGCTGAAGCGAACTTGGGTTCTGCAGCAGGACAATGATCCAAAGCACACCAGCAAGTCCACTTCTGAATGGCTGAAGAAAAACAAAATGAAGACTTTGGAGTGGCCTAGTCAAAGTCCTGACCTGAATCCAATTGAGATGCTGTGGCATGACCTTAAAAAGGCAGTTCATGCCCGAAAACCCTCCAATGTGGCTGACTTACAACAACTTAATAATAAAAACCTTCATTTAAAAACTGCATGATGTGTTTACTTGTGTTATCTTTGACTAATATATAAATTTGTTTGACGATCTGAAACATTACAGTGTGACAAACATGCAAAAAGATAAGAAATCAGTAAGGGGGCAAACACTTTTTCACACCACTGTATGTGTGGGAGAATTATTGAAATGTTTAAAACAATGTTACTCAGAAAAAGATAGGAGGGATTTGAATCATGGCGCCCTCCAAGGCAGACGTGTTTGTGCGTTCCACTCCCGAATGCCAGCCTTTTCTTCATTTTCTTCTGTTTTTTTGTGTGTTCTTTTACTCTTTCTGCAGTGCCGAAATGTCATGCACTGCTAACATACAACAGACAGGCATTGCTGGATCTCGCCAACTCAACACAACCACTGGGAATTTACTGGTTTCATACCACCGGAGCTACAAGTCATTGTTCGCTCCCGCAACAACAACCACCACCATCAACCCCCGGGAAGGCCCCGAAGCACCAGGCATGAGTGAGCAGGCTGACCCCAGAACAGCAATCTGGAGAGAATGACGCAAGCAGGGCAAGAGAAGAGGGCTCCATGCTAGGCTAAAAGCTTGCGCTACCCGACGCCATTACCCAGCCTCTTCCTAGCTAACGTACAGTCTCTGGAAAACAAACTGGACGAGCTAAGGGCTAGGATTACAGCACAACGGGAAACCAGAGAATGCTGTGTTCTAATTCTCACCAAGACTTGGCTTTCTGACAGAGTTCCAGATTCCGTGATTCAGCTACAGACCCACTCTGTACATCGGGGAGACTGCACTGCTGCTTCGGGGAAGGTAAAAGGAGGCGGTGTGTGTGTTTATCATTAACTCGTGGTGTGGAGATGTACGGACTACAAAATGTAGTTACATTCATAAATGCTGCTTAAACCTGTGCTGTGCTAAAAGCCCTATGTGCCAAGGGCATGAACAAGGTAATGCAGACATGAACCGTAAGTAGAGGCAACTCACTGTCAGTTTAGTCTCTGTATGGCAACTGCAGAAAATACTAATAATGTAGAAAATGACTGGCCCTATCCTTCATAATTGCCATTTAATAATAACCATTAATTTCTTTCTTTCTAATCACCAATAATCACCAGTGAAAACAGTTTGTTCCAACTACAACATTCCATCTCAAAAGCATATCAACTACAGTAACGGTCAGTAATGATGTAATGACTGGCCGCTTATCAAACAACATCCCCAGTTCGACTGTGGATGAGTTCCCATGTTAGATCGATGGTCTCCACACAGCAATGATGAAGAGGAGGTGAATGATGAGAGAGCACTTGGGAGTCAGTCGCATGAAAAAACCCATTACCCCGCTCACTGTCCCTCTGTCCAGGTGTAATGTCTTGCTAGATGAGAAATGCTCAGGACATTGCCGTGTGTGCTCTTGTTGTTTTAGACCAATCAGAGCCTGACAACAGCTATCAATCAGCGTGAGTCCGTCTTTGTCGGGACCCGTTTCATACCTGGTCTGTGAGGACATTTTGAGAAACGTGCCAGGTTGTGTTCTCGTCTCACCTGTAACAGGACCGGGACAGAACCCTAAACTAGCTCTGTTCTGGGCCAGTCTGTAACTAAAACCAGTATAACCATTTCAGCTGTACACTGGTGGGGAAAAAAACCCCAGAATGAAATCAGTTAACCCAGTTCTCACCTAACTGTAACAGGACTGGGACTGAAATAAACCATTCTAACCAGTTCTGCACTGGAATGCAACAAAACCAAGACAGAACCAGAAAAGAACTAAACCAGTCTGACTGGTCTAACAAAGACAAAACCAGGACAAGAACCAGACTAACTTGTTTAGTTCTTTACTGGTCTGTAAAAGAACCAGAAAAAGACCAGTCTGGCCAGTTCCTGCTCCAGTGAACTGAACTGGTTTCAGGTATAATACAGACAGCATGAGACAGTGTTTCTTTCTTTTCTCTGTTTTTGACTCTTCAAGGTCAAGACAAGCTTGGCTATCATCATCTATTGTTTCCTCACATGCACACACCCCCACACACACACAGCCATCACCCCCTCGGACGCAGAGCTGCTGTTTTCAGTGTAAAGGCGATGAAAACGCTGCTTTCAAGAGAGAACTTATCTGTCTGTATGTCGCTTTGCGTAATGGTGTGTGTCTGTCTCTGTGTGTGCATGTATGTCACAGTGGGCCATAAAGACACTGCTTCTTTATGTGAAAGTGAAGCTGTTTTCTGCTTTGGGGCTTCAGCTGGTCACACTGAGTGGGAGGTTTGTGTATTAATATGTGTGTGTGTGTTAGTGTGTGCATCTAGAAGGCAAACAGCTGCTACGAGTGTTAGAGGCCTGCTGGTGACACAACCTCTCCCACTCACACAAACACAACACCCTGTTGGATATTCATGTGTGTGTATGTAAACAGCCGGTGGGAAGTTTCCACCTTCAGGCTGGTAAATATTTAAATGTAATTTTCTGCAAGCTGTGACTGAATGTGTGTGTGTGTGTGTTGCACCTGTTCTGCTAAAGAGGATAAATGTGTCCACACACACATACCACAGCAATAAAATCATTTTCAGAGTTTTCAACATGATTTGCGTCAAAAAAAAAAAAAATCACTCGAATTCCACTTGGTGCACATCTGTAAAAAAATCACCCTTTTTCTCAAAGTTGTAACTGAGTGTAATGTAACACAGACATGAAACACATTGCTCTGGTTCAGTGTGATGTCCACTTGCTGAGGATATCATTATCTCTGATGTCCATCCACAATAAACCTCCATAAATCCACTTAGAAATCTGCAGAGAAGATGGTAAATGCCCTTGTACTTGTACGGCGCTTTTTCTATGCTTTACAACACACTCAAAGCACTTTCACTTTACTTGGCTGTTCACCCATTCGCACTCCCAAACACACACACATTCACACACCAGTGTCATCACCGGGAGCAACTGGGGGTTCAGTGCCTTGCTCAAGGACACTTCGACATGTGGACCAGACAAGCCGGGAATCGAACCGCTAATCCGCCGGTTAGGAGATGACTGGCTCCATCTCCTGAGCCACAGCCGCCGAAGAAGCAGAAGAGGGTGCAGAACTTTATTCACAATACTGGTGTTTTTAAGTTTCCATCAGTATCACAGTAACCCAGTGACAGCTAACAGTCCTAATAACTAATTCAGCTACTTTTTTGGACAAAATTAACATACTGTGTTAAGACAGTTATTCATTTGTTGGAAACTGCAATGTGCTGACTAAAAACTGTTTAGTTTGGTAACAGAGGTCACAGTAAGAGCTAACTGGCCGGAAACACACATTACATTCTCCCTATAATTAGCAGCAAACTGCATTGTCCACCCTATGAAGAAAAGGCAGCTACTCATCACTTCTGTTCTAGGAAACAGTTCGGAAACCATTGAATATGGTGTCTGTGTGCCTAGTTTCTGCTGTGGGGAGTGTGTGTTTGTGTGTTTTTGTGAGTCTTGTCTGACCTTTCAGCTGCTTGTCGCCGGCCGCTGGGGCTATGCGAACATACGGTGTAGTGAGCTGGGTGACGATTATAGCGGCTACTTGTCCAGGAAGGCATTCAGAGAGAGAGGCAGATAGACAAACAGCAGAGAGAGAGAGAGACACAGACTATAGCAGTGGTTTGTACTGAAGCAGAAATATTAGTGGCATGCAGCTTTGAATAAATGATTATCAGCTTTAACATCCTTAAATTATCATTAGCATAAACACATGCAATACACTGGAAACAACAGCACAATATACTTATAAGCATATACAGTGCCTTGCGAAAGTATTCGGCCCCCTTAAACTTTGCGACCTTTTGCCACATTTCAGGCTTCAAACATAAAGATATAAAACTGTAATTTTTTGTGAAGAATCAACAACAAGTGGGACACAATCATGAAGTAGAACGAAATTTATTGGATATTTCAAACGTTTTTAACAAATAAAAAACTGAAAAATTGGCCGTGCAAAATTATTCAGCCCCCTTAAGTTAATACTTTGTAGCGCCACCTTTTGCTGCGATTACAGCTGTAAGTCACTTGGGGTATGTCTCTATCAGTTTTGCACATCGAGAGACGGAAATTTTTGCCCATTCCTCCTTGCAAAACAGCTCGAGCTCAGTGAGGTTGGATAGAGAGCGTTTGTGAACAGCAGTTTTCAGTTCTTTCCACAGATTCTCAATTGGATTCAGGTCTGGACTTTGACTTGGCCATTCTAACACCTGGATATGTTTATTTGTGAACCATTCCATTGTAGATTTTGCTTTATGTTTTGGATCATTGTCTTGTTGGAAGACAAATCTCCGTCCCAGGCTCAGGTCTTTTGCAGACTCCATCAGGTTTCCTTCCAGAATGGTCCTGTATTTGGCTCCATCCATCTTCCCATCAAGTTTAACCATCTTCCCTGTCCCTGCTGAAGAAAAGCAGGCCCAAACCAGGATGCTGCCACCACCATGTTTGACAGTGGGGATGGTGTGTTCAGGGTGATGAGCTGTGTTGCTTTTACGCCAAACATAACGTTTTGCATTGTTGCCAAAAAGTTCGATTTTGGTTTCATCTGACCAGAGCACCTTCTTCCACATGTTTGGTGTGTCTCCCAGGTGGCTTGTGGCAAACTTTAAACGACACTTTTTATGGATATCTTTAAGAAATGGCTTTCTTCTTGCCACTCTTCCATAAAGGCCAGATTTGTGCAGTATACGACTGATTGTTGTCCTATGGACAGAGTCTCCCACCTCAGCTGTAGATCTCTGCAGTTCATCCAGAGTGATCATGGGCCTCTTGGCTGCATCTCTGATCAGTCTTCTCCTTGTATGAGCTGAAAGTTTAGAGGGACGGCCAGGTCTTGGTAGATTTGCAGTGGTCTGATACTCCTTCCATTTCAATATTATCACTTGCACAGTGCTCCTTGGGATGTTTAAAGCTTGGGAAATCTTTTTGTATCCAAATCCGGCTTTAAACTTCTCCACAACAGTATCTCGGACCTGCCTGGTGTGTTCCTTGTTCTTCATGATGCTCTCTGCGCTTTAAACAGACCTCTGAGACTATCACAGTGCAGGTGCATTTATACGGAGACTTGATTACACACAGGTGGATTCTATTTATCATCATTAGTCATTTAGGTCAACATTGGATCATTCAGAGATCCTCACTGAACTTCTGGAGAGAGTTTGCTGCACTGAAAGTAAAGGGGCTGAATAATTTTGCACGCCCAATTTTTCAGTTTTTTATTTGTTAAAAAAGTTTGACATATCCAATAAATTTCGTTCCACTTCATGATTGTGTCCCACTTGTTGTTGATTCTTCACAAAAAATTACAGTTTTATATCTTTATGTTTGAAGCCTGAAATGTGGCAAAAGGTCGCAAAGTTCAAGGGGGCCGAATACTTTCGCAAGGCACTGTATTAGCTTTATTGGTAGTACACAGTGGTGGAAGAAGTATTCAGATCCTTAAGTAAAAGAAGAGTGTAAAAATACTATTGTACCAATATTTGTCTTGCAGAAGGGCCCATGTCCCAGTAATGTCTGATACTACTGGATCATAGTGACTGATGCATTACTGTGTTCATCACTTTAATGCTGCAGCTGGTAAAGGTGGAGCTGATGGTAACTACCTTATATACTTGTACTGTGAAGTACTTTCCATCCTGCTGGGTAGCTGGTGGATTTCCCACCAGGATGAATAGAGTCTAATGATTCTACTGGGTTTGGTTTGATTCATTTCATTCTGGAAAGGAACTGAAGTTATCAGGTACATGTAGTGCAGTAAAAAGTACACGGTCTGTCTCTGACATGGAGTGAAGTCACAGTATGAAGTAGCAGGACATGGAAGTACTCAGGTAAAGCAGAGATACCTCAAACTTGTACTTAAGAGTGGTACTTTAGGAAATGTACTTTGTTACTTGCCACCACTGCAAGTATTCACGTATGAATAATTACTGAAAACTACCTACAATCCAACATTCACTATTTATTAACATATACAAGTCATCAACAACTAAACTTTCTTATTCTTACTACAGCAGTTTACTATTTATCACAGCAGCTAATGATTATTTTCATCATACTCATATCAATTATTTTAGTAATATTTTCTTTTTATCATTAGATTTTTTATATCATGTTTTATTATATTTATGATATGGTAGAAATAGCTAAACTAGGAAGATTATATAATCAAATTTAGGGATATAACTTCATATTTTCATAATCAATTCATCTGCTAATTAGTTTTCCAGTCAATTAAACATTGTCTATGAAATGCATCTTTGTTTTGTCCAAAACCCAAATAGATTCAGTTCACTGACAAAATCAGAAAATTCTCCTAAGAAAGCAACTTTACCTGCAACTTTTTTGATTTTCAAAAAACAGTTATTGTGTTTTCCTAAGGAGTCAGAATGAATTTGACTTTTTTATAGAAAAAAAGCAGGAAGTCACTGCACGTACGCCAGACATCAAAACAAGAATAATGAACATGTTAAAACAAAACCTATTTGTAACTACTGCTCAGTAAATTCATAATTCTTTATAACATATCATTTCTAAAGGTCATGTCCTTCAGTGTCATTTTGTCCTATCAAAAAACCAGAAAGCATCAAATTAGCACACTGAGAAGCTAAAAGCAGCAAATGTCTGTTAGTCGGCATATCATCACATCTCGAATCAAATCGCTTGTTTTCTCTGACCAGCATCACACAACCACTGCACTAAGTTGACTTCTAGCCTTGTTACCTACATTAAAGACACTTCAAAATGTCCTTTTGCACCCTTTGATCAACTGCTTTAAACAAATGCTTCATGCTTAGAAATGCTAACGCACATGGATAGTCAAACCCAAAAAGCTCAACAATACACTGTGATCGCTACCTCTAATTCATAACTAATTATCTATTCATATAGTATATATCCAAAATGAACGTAAACTGTGAACTGTTTTTAAAAAGGCAGTGGAGCAGAGCACTGTTTAAGCATTTTAGTTCAAGACCTAGAAAAAAGTCCATTAATCAGCCAATCGATCAATCAATCAGTCATTAGTAATCAAACAAGCAAGCAAAAGCAGCAGAGAGAGTTCATCCACAATCAGCAGAGTTAAATTTCAGACAAGGCTAATTATCATATTTCTGTGCATTCTAGTTAGAACAGGTCTTCGTCATGACTGTGGGACGTCACGAGTGTTTCTGACATTGCAACTATTCTAAGAAATAACAATAACAATTAATTCCTCTTCGTTATACAGAATAAAAGCCATCATTTCCCTTGAATCTGTGTTTCATGCGCCCCATTAACATTCAGCAGACGCTCGTCTCCTGTCTACATTCATGTCAGCTCTGCTCACTGTCAGCGTTGCAAGGCATTGGGGTATACTGAAAGGGAAGGGAGGGGAGGGGAAGCAGAAAACCCTAAAGCCCCTACTCCCTACCCCCCACCCTCTGGGAAACATGGTTGGCTGTTGCAGCCTGAATGACAGGTGTCAGGGGAGCCAATCAGCATCTGGTGTTGTTAGCCACCAGAACTGTGCTCCAATAAAAGCTGATTAAAGCCAGAACTGTCAATTAGTGTGTGTGCGTCTGTGTGTTTGTTTAATGTGTGAGTGGGATAATCCTGGATATCTGTCAGGGGAGATAATAGCATTTTTAGCTTGTTTAGCTGCGGTGCTAAACAGCTCTCTGGACAACCCTAAAGTCCCAGTCATTAGCCTTGTGTTAGCCTACAGTTAGCGTTGCACAGTGCTGAATGTGTGTTTTATTTGTGTCTGCGGAGGACATCGGGTTGTCCTTGTCCTGTTATTGGCCGACAGAGCGAAGGGCAGGTGTCAGGCACTTGCAGCCATCTGTGAGCCATTATACTTCTGGATGGGACCAGTGTGCTAACCATTAGCCTAGCGCTGCAGCAGCTAGCTGCCATCTGTGACTCATTACATGGAATGAACTGGCTGCTGCTGGCTAGCTAGTAGAAAATTTATCAGTTAAATCCAGTCCAGCAGCGACCAGGTCCAACTGGATAATGACACTAACCTCTAACATAAAAACACAAACGTAATCTACACTTTTCAAAATAAAATGTCACTCTACTGCTTTTCACTTTTCAGCATAAATGGTTCTCTATTCCTGTCCAAATATATAGTCAGTGTCTTTCATAATAAAAATACTCTCCATCCATTCATCCATCCATCCATCCAACTTCGTGCTCTTTATCCGAGACCGGGTTCAACATAAAATATACTCCTGTCAGCCCTTGTCAAAATAAAACACACTTGTGAAAAACAATGTAAAGAACTGAATGGTATTCCAAATTTTCAAATATAATATAATTTACTGTGCATTTTTATAAAAATAAAATGCACTGATACCTTTTAAAATAATATGTCTCTACAAAATAAATGTGCTTTTCACCTTTAAAAATAAAAGGAAATGAAAACCTTTCAAAATCAAATGACAACATTCAGTATAAAACATATTCTATAATATTTGTAATACCCAGCAGCCTTCAAAATAAAATACACGATACCTTTGAAAATTAGATGACAGAACAGGACTGTAAAAGATAGTGAACTTTTCCTTTCAGAATAAAATGCACTCTTGTGCTTTCAAATTCAAATTTACTGGAAACATAAAATAATGAAAACTCAATATATTTCAAAATAAAATTAAACTGAAGCCAAACACACGGTTAAGACTTTTCAAAATACACCGCAACCCATGTTCTTACCTTTGGTGGCCACCCGCACACAGTCGATCTTCGTCTCCTGTGTGTGTGTGTGTGTGTGTGTGTGTGTGTGTGTGTGTGTGAGAGAGAGAGAGAGAGAGAGAGAGAGAGGAGCAAATTAGTTTTCTGTCAACACAAAATGTCGACAAATTAGCCGTCATGTCCAGAAACACAAACACACACACTGGACGTAAACAGAGAGGACAGAAGGCAACTGGCTGTGGATCAGCGCCTGTGTTGGCATTTAACAACCGACACACACAGTAACAGCGTGAGACGGTGTTGGGGAAAGACAAGAGAACATCTTGTGTCTTTCTGGTTTCAACAGACGACACATTATGCACAAGAGCTCATGAATATCCATGCTCACACACGTGCGGCAGCGTGGTGACGGTAAAAAGCACTACTGTCGCGGCATTATTCAACACACACCAATTAAACCTACTGGTGTCAATAGTTAACACGCAAGACAACACAATCTGTGTGTGTGTGGAGCAGTGAAAATGACTGCAGCCTATTAGTGTCACTGGTCAGGCTGCTGAGCGACCGCTCCGTCTCTCTTTCGCTTCTCTGACTTTTACCCCAAAAGGAACAGAAAAGCTAATAAAAAAATAACACAAAAAGCGACACCGAGCTCTGCTGCATGACATGACTGGACAGCCTGAAGCCTGTCGCTCCTTTAAACTACATCCAGCCACCGTTTTTTCTGTCATGCGTTTCTCTACACAACACATTTCAAACTAGGAAGCAGCTCAGGGAGAATAGTAATGTACGTTCAGCGAACTATCACAGCTCAGTGAAATGTGAACACACAAACGTGAACATCTTTAGATCCAGGACTACCTCCTGGTGCATGTGCCCAGGGGTGACCAGAAACTCGAACGCTGCTGGGAACATGGGAATATTCTCAAGCACAAAGACTCAGCAGCACAGATGTTGGGTACATGAATGAGTCTCCAACTGATGTAAATCTGCATCAACATCCCCCGACTCAGTGCGGCACCGGTCCTGAGTATAAAATGCACAAACCTCTACATTAAAAGACACTAAACATCACACAGCACACGTAATCATGCAGAGTGTCTCCATCGGCAGCATCAGAGGCCTGAGCAGTTTTGGTTCGCTCACTTGTAGCTTTACTGGGAGCTTCCACAGGCATACTGGTGATTATGGAGTCAGACTGAGGAGCTGAGCCTCAAGTCTCCTGTGGACAGATAAACTCACCCCGTTAGCAGTGCTGACTGCCTGGTAGTAGATGCCGTAACTCTTGTGTGGCAGCAGAGGCGCGTTCCAGTAGCCGCTGTACGTCCTGTTGTCACCTGTATAGACACACGGGTCAACAGGTAAAGAGTGACGGCCAGTTAGCTGACTGACTACCTAACTAACACCTAGTACAGCATTCAACCACATAACTAAGAGTGGCTATTTGACTGACTGCCTAAAAAACTTACTGAGTACCATCCTACCAAAACTAATAAACATATGCTTCTAGAGTAGTATATAGTACCTAGCTAAGCCACTAATGAGTTCACCAACTTTGTGTTTAAGTAAGTCAGCTACTTAAGTGCAGAGGTGTGTGAGTGCTTCCAAATCATTAACTAACTAGCTATCCAACTAACCGACACAGAAGGGTGTGGGCGCTCTCAGCTCGCTCATCGGCAGCTCCGCGCTAAAGTAGTACTGCGAGTTGAGCAGTGTGGCATTCTGGAAGTGGATGGGCACCGGGTAACAGCGCAGGATCTCTGCAGTACCTCTCCTCTGCCTGCGGGGGCGCTCCTCCTCCACCACCAGCTGGTACTTACTGCATACACAGACACACAGACATGGCTCTTTACCAGGAAGAGGGGCTTTCCCAATAACTACAAGACTGAGCTGAATTTTCCCGAATTCATTCATGACGTTATAAGCCTATGTGCCGGGAAGGAACACACCGGTGGGGCGGACACTAAAGCTGCTTTTCCACTATCGGAACCTAATGGGCAGTATATCCCACACACCCTCCCGGGTTGACACCTACGGTCCTGCTTTGGTTTTCCACTGTCGGTCTCACACACAGAGCTGAGCAGAGGACGTGAAGGATCGCTCCACAGTGCACCAGTCAGCCAGTAACAGGCTGGATGAGCAGTTTATCAAACAGCTGTTGAACAAGCAGAACAGACTGGCAGAAATCTGACGTCTTCACCGCGGTCCGCTCACTGAAGTCCCTGTTTTGCCCCTAAACTGACGAGTGAAGTCCTTTGATCTCTAAACCATTGAGTGCGTTTACACAGAGTGCTAGTAATGCTAATGACTGAGGTGTGAGTATGTGGACATTTAGCCAATCAGGGGTAACTGCTCTGTGCAGATGCATATGCACAAGGCGGCACCAGGGAACAACTTTCATCCAGGTGACTGGGCGCCATGTTTCAGTCCAGGACCAGGTTAGCCTTAATACATCCGCGGTGTAAAGCAAGACTTGGACCATTTTCTTTTTCAGCTCACGTCCAACCACCAACACAGCAGAACTCCTTTTGTGAATCTGGGCTTTTTCGTGTCGAGGGGTGGCAGCGCTGGAGATTATTGACTGGGTTTCTATTCACATATAACCCTGCCACACAGAAGTGCTGTCCTGTGCTTCTCACCCATCTGTTGGTTCATTTTTCAGCTCCACAGAAAGGTCAGTGCTGCCGCTCCTCCACTCCATCACCCTCTCCTTCATTTTTATTAACTCTGTCTCCCTCTCCCTATGTAGAGGCTGTAACTTTATAACATCATGACATTAACCTGATAATTCATCTGGTCCTGTCTGTGCAGGTATTAAATCCTATAGATTGGGAAAGGCCATGAGGACACAAAACAAATGGGAACAGAGAGTTTGAAATCATCACTTTTTCTGGTTGTCAACTGACTATAACTGGAAATTAATTTTTGCTCACCAGTCAGCTCAGATAAAAACAATTACTGCCTTAAAGGACAAAGAAATACCAGCTGCCTGTATGACAGAGGAGCTGTCTCACCACTTCTCTCATGGAGCTCCAGTCAAGTTTCAGGCAGCTGAGCAGAATCAGCAGAAAGCTGAAACTGAATTGTCAAACTCTACAGAATGAAAAACTACTGACGCCACATAGCGACTGTATGGAAACTACCTAAAACCCACCGACTCCACTGAACCTACAGAAATGCTTCAAAGTCTGTGGAAACTACCAAGTATCCATGTGTATGGAGTGAGCTACAGGCTGTGATGAAAGCAGAGTGTTCCGTCAAGCCAAGTTTGGTTGTTTTGTGTATACATTCTTTTGTCAGACATGCATCATGGTGGCACACTTGTAAATAAATCACCATTTTATGAACCTGATGAAGGTTTCTGAGTCTTCCCCCTACTGATTCCTTTGCTGCTGCGGTCGTGCTAAACCACTGTGGCTTACAAAAAGCCCAAGCTGCTCCTGAACGCAGCACAGTGGTTTTGTCCTGAGGGACGCTGGAAACAATAGGCAGTATATCCCACACACCCTCCCGGGTTGACACCTACGGTCCTGCTTTGGTTTTCCACTGTCGGTCTCACACACAGAGCTGAGCAGAGGACGTGAAGGATCGCTCCACAGTGCACCAGTCAGCCAGTAACAGGCTGGATGAGCAGTTTATCAAACAGCTGTTGAACAAGCAGAACAGACTGGCAGAAATCTGACGTCTTCACCGCGGTCCGCTCACTGAAGTCCCTGTTTTGCCCCTAAACTGACGAGTGAAGTCCTTTGATCTCTAAACCATTGAGTGCGTTTACACAGAGTGCTAGTAATGCTAATGACTGAGGTGTGAGTATGTGGACATTTAGCCAATCAGGGGTAACTGCTCTGTGCAGATGCATATGCACAAGGCGGCACCAGGGAACAACTTTCATCCAGGTGACTGGGCGCCATGTTTCAGTCCAGGACCAGGTTAGCCTTAATACATCCGCGGTGTAAAGCAAGACTTGGACCATTTTCTTTTTCAGCTCACGTCCAACCACCAACACAGCAGAACTCCTTTTGTGAATCTGGGCTTTTTCGTGTCGAGGGGTGGCAGCGCTGGAGATTATTGACTGGGTTTCTATTCACATATAACCCTGCCACACAGAAGTGCTGTCCTGTGCTTCTCACCCATCTGTTGGTTCATTTTTCAGCTCCACAGAAAGGTCAGTGCTGCCGCTCCTCCACTCCATCACCCTCTCCTTCATTTTTATTAACTCTGTCTCCCTCTCCCTATGTAGAGGCTGTAACTTTATAACATCATGACATTAACCTGATAATTCATCTGGTCCTGTCTGTGCAGGTATTAAATCCTATAGATTGGGAAAGGCCATGAGGACACAAAACAAATGGGAACAGAGAGTTTGAAATCATCACTTTTTCTGGTTGTCAACTGACTATAACTGGAAATTAATTTTTGCTCACCAGTCAGCTCAGATAAAAACAATTACTGCCTTAAAGGACAAAGAAATACCAGCTGCCTGTATGACAGAGGAGCTGTCTCACCACTTCTCTCATGGAGCTCCAGTCAAGTTTCAGGCAGCTGAGCAGAATCAGCAGAAAGCTGAAACTGAATTGTCAAACTCTACAGAATGAAAAACTACTGACGCCACATAGCGACTGTATGGAAACTACCTAAAACCCACCGACTCCACTGAACCTACAGAAATGCTTCAAAGTCTGTGGAAACTACCAAGTATCCATGTGTATGGAGTGAGCTACAGGCTGTGATGAAAGCAGAGTGTTCCGTCAAGCCAAGTTTGGTTGTTTTGTGTATACATTCTTTTGTCAGACATGCATCATGGTGGCACACTTGTAAATAAATCACCATTTTATGAACCTGATGAAGGTTTCTGAGTCTTCCCCCTACTGATTCCTTTGCTGCTGCGGTCGTGCTAAACCACTGTGGCTTACAAAAAGCCCAAGCTGCTCCTGAACGCAGCACAGTGGTTTTGTCCTGAGGGACGCTGGAAACAATAGTTGTGTTTTCCACAGGAACCAGGACAGGACTGAAGCCATATATCACCACACACACAGTCACATTAATTGAGGGTGTGGATGGTGAAACTGCAGTACTGTCACGTTTCCTGCTTGACAGGAAACTAAAGGAGGACAGGAAGACCCACTGTAACACACACCCAGACACACACTGCCGTATGTGTAGTGTTTAGAAAAGAAAGATTCACTTTTCTCTGTCTTCTTCCGACTCCTTCTTCTTTTGTCATCCCTCCTCCCCCTCACATCTGGCTCATCTCTGTTCTGTCATTGTCAAACTGTCCCCAATCGCATTTCTCCACACTCACATTGTAGCACTTGTGTGACAGTAATCTAATTACAGCTGCAGGTCGCCCACAGCAACACCTTTTGTCCTGTGATCTGAGGCTTCTCCAGTGCGCAAAGGCCGACACACACACAGTTAAATATAAACACCCACAGACATGAAATCGTATCTCGGAGCAGCATCTGTTCAGTGTGATGGATTTCACATCAGCTATCATGTCAATTAACACAGCGAGCATCTCGCTCACTCGTTACATCCGCAGCCTTCTTCCTGCTTCAAAGAGACAAACACAGATCTGGATTCGGTTGAAATCATCCATTCTTCTCTTTTCAGTCCTCCTCTGTTTCTTCTTTCACATGAGATCCACACAGCACACAGCCAGTCGGTGTGTGTGCGCAGGTTCCACAGGACCAGTCAGACGTGTGGACACAGGCAGTGTCGATGAAACACCAACACACGGCTTCGGGCACATCCCAGGCCTTAATACTCAGCCCTGAGGTTTTTGTGTTGGTGCTTGGCAGGTGCCAACCTGGTCCGACACTGCCAGCTGAGTGGCTCGGCCCTGGACCACTACGCCGGTGGAATACACTGTTAAAAAAGCTGTAAAAACAAACCTAATATTTCAGCAGCGGGGCACCAATAAACTGCTGTCAAATGACAGAAGAAGGAAAAGAAATTAAACTCGGCAGGGTTATGTTTATTTAACCTGTAGAACTCTGGGGTATATGTGTCACTGTGGCTCTTACAGATTAAGCAGCTGCAACAAGACTGTGGTCTGTCTTTTGTCTGGGTAGCACAGTCATAATATCAGCTGGATGAAATTACCTGCAGCATTTGAAAGTTCAGCTTCTACAAAGCCAACTCACAAACATGCCATCGTGTGATTTTATATAGAGGAGTTAAACATGAGCTGAAGTTGTAAAAGTATTTCTTTTGTGGAAACCACAGTCAAGTTATTTGTTACTGTTGGCTGGTGAACAGCAGGATCCTGAGGGTACTGGGATAGAAAACACAGGTTCTGTATACTGCTGTAATGACAAGCAACTGGGAGATGAGTTTCACATTCTGTTCAAATGTAAAACTGCTAATACAATGTATTTATTCAAACTGTCCATCTAGGTTTCCATTGATTTACCTACTACAAGCAGATAGTCCAACATTCACTGGTAAACTGGGCCTGTAGAGTGTATTACCTTTGTTTAAGTGTTGTGCTTTATCCCTGCTGTTTGTCATTGGCCCACAAGTTCAGTTTTCCATACTGTGAGAGTGTCCGTGTGACTCAACCTAATGCAGCTATAGAGCCTTGTTTTACGTTACATAACATCAGCGCTGTGTTTGAGCTCCACATATTCAGTGGTAATAAGTTCAGACTATTTACCGGGGGTGGGGGATCTGGGGCGATATTGTGCTAAAAGTACCTCTTTGCCCATGTGGCAGTACTTTAGGTTAAAAAGCAAATGAAAGTTATGTAATAATATTTAATGTAATAGATGAACAGACGACGGATTTCCACAACACCTGCGTGTGCACATAGTGCACTCCATTTCCATCACAGATGTGAGATCGGCTGATAGTTTTACCAGTATAGACGTCTCACTCTGTTGGAATGACAGAAGCACTCACTTCACTCTGATTATTCAGTGGTGTTACAGAGTGATGCCTCTTTACCTCATAAACGACCTTCAGCTAACTGCAGATGCCCTGTTGTCTGTCCACCGTCCTGGGTTAGGGTTACACTAACTACATAACATTACATTTGCAAGATTTTCTGTAACAATTAAATGTTAAAAATGAGTCAAATTAAAAGTGATAAACAGTTAAACATCTGTTAAATGTGCACTGTTTTGCTTTATATAATACAAAGCTACCGTATGTTGTTGTAATTATATACATATCTCTTTTATAATTGAATGATTTTAAAGGTAAACCTGTAGTTTTTAAAGGTGAGTATCTTTTTTTAACATTAACAAGCTGTTAAACAAACCAAATCTTGTGAAATTAAAGCCAAAGAGACAAACCGTGTACTTTTTACTGCATCTATGTGATACCTTCAGTTCCTTTCTAGAATCAGATGAATCAAACCAAAACCAGTAGAACCATCAGATTATATTGATCCCGGTGGGAAATCCACCAGCTACCCAGCAGGATGAAAAGTACTTCACAGTATAAGTATATAAGGTAGTTACCATCAGCTCCACCTTTACCAGCTGCAGCATTAAAGTGATGGACACAGTAATTAGTCACTATGATCCAGTATCAGACAAGAGAGTTTTTCCTCCCCGTTGTCCCCACATTCTCCTCAAGGGGGATTTGTTGGGTTTTTCCTCTATAATAATAATTATAATAACAGTAAGGTCTAGCACTGACTTGGTAAAGTGTCCTGACACGACTTTTGTTGCGACTTGGCACCATACAAATAAAACTGAATTGAGAATTAATGTGAAATGGGCTGTTCTGTAGGAGTACTGGTACTTTGGATACTTCAGGTATACTTTGGATGCTAATACTACGGCATTTCTACTTGAGTAACAGTTTGAATGTGGAGTGAATGACTTGGAGTATCTGATACTGTGGTATTACTTTTACTGAAGTAAAGGATCTGAGTACTTCTGCCACTACTGCTGGTCTGAAACACATTAAGAAGATAAGGAATCCCATCAGTTACTTTTGACAAAACACACCTGAAAACCTGAAACCCAGTACCAGTGGAACTTACTTTTTAGAAAACCATTCTTTATTTTAGTATATTCAGTAGCAGAAGAAGTACTCAGATTCTATCAATAATAATATCACAGTGTAGAAATACTCTGTTACAAGTAAAAGTACAGAGGTATTAACATCAGAATATACTTGAAGTGTGTGTATATGTGTAGGCCCATATGTATATACGCTTCTAATGTGAAGTACTTTACATCCCGCTGGGTACCTTGTGAATTACCTACCAGGGATCAATGCAGTCCTCTGATTATCCTGCACACCTAGGGGACATCAGGTGCCATGTTTGACTCTGTGCACTTGTACTGCCGCCTGACACGTTCTGTCACCAGCGGCTTAGTCCACATTAGGGCAACAGAGCAAACAGAAGCTGCTCCTATGTGCCTCTGTTGTTCTTGTTGTTTTGTTTAGTACTTGTAAAGAGCGACAAACTGTGTATGAATGAATGGAGATGAGCTGGAGCATCTTTGTGTTCCT